TACGAGCATGGCACTAACCTCTGCTTGGCTTCTGGTGAGGTCTCAGGAAGCTATGATCATAACAGAAGGCAGAGGGGAAAGTCAGCATATCACAGGGGGAGAGAGGGAGCAAGGTAGCGGGGAGGCGCCACATTCTTTTAAACAACCAGATCATTCATGAACTCAGAGTGGGAACTCACTTATCACTAAAAGGATGGTGCTAAGCCATTCATGAAGAATATGCCCCCATAATCCAAACACCTCCCAGCAGGCCTTACCTCCAACACTGAGAGTCACATTTCAAGGTGAGATTTGGAAGGGATAAACATCCAAACCAAATCATACATATATGTTAAAATTGCTACTGGTTGGTTGTCACTTGAGTTTCCTTATAGAAAAGAATAAATTATTTTGTGTTTGAGACAGGGTCTCACTCTGTCACTAAGGCTGCAGTACAGTGGTGTAATCATGGCTTACTGTAGCCTCGACCTCCCAGGCTCAGGTGATCCTCCTACCTCAGCCTCCCGGAGAGCTCAGACTACAGGTGCATGCCACTGCAACTGGGTAATTTTTTTGTAATTTTTTGTAGAGATGGGGTCTCACTATGTTGTCTAGGCTAGTCTTGGACTCCTGAGCACAAGTGACCCACTCACCTTGGCCTCCCAAAATGCTGAGATTACAAGTGTGAACCACTGTGCCCAGCCAAAAAGAATTTTAACATCCAGAGAAAAAGTATGAACCCTGTGGAAACACATGACATGTTACTTCTTTCACTTTTAACTTATGATGCCTTTAACTTTTCCTGGACCTTTCTTAGAACATTAGCTTCATGGTAATATCCCTTTCAGTCCCTCCAATTTAAAGACACTGCCATGACTCCTTCACTTTAGAATGCAGAAATGGAGCTAGCTAGCCCTCAACCTTGCTGATGCCTCTTCTTCCCTCCTCATGAATGTTAGCATTATAGCCATTTGTATTTTTCTCTTTTTTCTTATTCATAAGGTTACTATCTCAGGGCTTCCAAAAAACACTGGATATGGAACAGAACTTTTTTCAGGAAAGAAAGTGCTACATAAAGTGTTTCTGGATAACGAAATTGGCAATGGGACTTAGAAAATTCATTCAATGCAAATCAAAACTATATTGAGATACCATCTCACGCCAGTTAGAATGGCGATCATTAAAAAATCTAGAGACAACAGATGCTGGAGAGGATGTGGAGAAATAGGAACACTTTTACACTGTTGGTGGGAGTGCAAATTAGTTCAACCATTGTGGAAGACAGTGTGGCAATTCCTTAAGGACCTAGAAAGAGAAATTCCATTTGACCCAGCAATCCCATTATTGGGTATATATCCAAAGGACTATAAATCGTTCTACTATAAGGACACATGCACACGAATGTTCATTGCAGCACTGTTTACAATAGCAAAGGCCTGGAACCAATCCAAATGCCCATCGATGATAGACTGGACAGGGAAAATGTGGCACATATACACCATGGAATATTATGCAGCCATCAAAAACGATGAGTTCGTGTTCTTTGTAGGGACATGGATGAACCTGGAAACCATCATTCTCAGCAAACTGACACAAGAGCAGAAAATCAAACACGGCATGTTCTTACTCATAGGCAGGTGTTGAACAACGAGATCACATACACACAGGGAGGGGAGCACTACACACTGGGGTCTGTTGGGGGGATATGTGGGAGGGACAGTGGGGTGGGGAGTTGGGGAGAGATAGCATGGGGAGAAATGCCAGATATAGGTGAAGGGGAGGAAAGCAGCAAATCACACTGCCATGTGTGTACCTATGCAACTATCTTGCATGTTCTTCAAATGTACCCCAAAACCTAAAATGCAATTAAAAAAAAGAAAAAGAAAAAGAAAACTCATTCAAGGGGACAAACATAAAACACATTTCCAGATCAGTGTTTGAAAAATAATTTCATTAACATTTAATAAAACTTATCTATTTAAAACACTGAATAAACTAATTAGTGCTCCACTAGAAAATCAAAGGAAATCTGAATCTTCAAAACAAGCAAAATATATTTCTACCTGATATGGTAGAGCCTTACAGATGCCAACTCCGTGAAGCCAAAGCTGAATTACAGAATTCAGAATTCCAAATTACAGAATGATGAAGCTTTAGAACTGGAGTGGACTTTGTTGACATCTATTGTAATCATCATATTTTACAGATAAGAAAACAAAAAGTCAAAGAAGTAAAAACTGCCTAAGATGACTTTACTAATTGATGGCAGGGCCAGTAATAAAAATCCCAGGTTTTCGGCTTCCTAGGTAAGTATTCTTTCCACTATATGATATTGACAGCTAAAATAGCACCAGCATACATTTATGAGGGCCTAGACCTGCTGGCTTAGTGCTAAGTACTTCAGAAGTATTCATAAATTATCTCTTTTCATTTTCATAAGTGTACTACGATATAGGTATACACATAAGTGACAGAATATGTATGCAGGTTTTTATACCTGGGTACTGTGTAATCACATCATGGACACTGTTAACATACAAATTAACCAGTTAAAACTTAGAGAGGAATCATTTGCATGGTATGAAGTGGGACAACAGAGGCTGAGAGAACCTCAAATTCACATCTTTCTTTTCAGGGGATCCATAGAGCTTGAGCGTATAGACTCAGAAGTTCACACTTCTTAGCTTTGAATTGTAGCTCTGTTTATTGCTAGGTCTGTGACCTTGGTCAAGTTTCTTAACTTCTCTAAGCCTTACTTTCCTTATCTATAAGATAGAATAGAACATTTCCATAGAGTTGTCATTAGCATGAAATGACATAATGCATTAAGCAGTAAGTACAATGCCTAGCACAGAGTGATCACTCAATAAATGTCAGTTGAATTTTATTTTTAGCCATTGTATTTTAATTACTTGCCTCCTTTTGGGCCTTCTGAAAAAATTTCCCTAGATCACTAAGGTCATTTTTAAGAAACATTATCATGCATATTGATAACTTTTGCTTATTACTAAGAGTCATCCTCTTGAGATAATACATATGTCCAAGTAGATGCGTTCTGTGTAGGGAAAGGCATCGATGACAATATTATGCAGAAAATGCTCCTTAGAAGGTATGTATGTGAGCCTTTTTCCTTTTACATTTACCACCCACCCCTATACTAAATCTGGCCCATGACCACCACTCGAGCTTCATCCACCAAAATTGGGTTCCAGGTCAGTTTACATACAAGGTATTTTTCCCCCTTTAAGCAAGAAGTACTCTATTATTTTAAACTAGGAACTGATTATAACTCAAATGCTTATCTTTGGTATGAGCTCTTATAACTTTGCTGAACACCAGACTTAGATGAAAATGTATAAACACACGATTTGGAAGTATATCAATGAAACAGATTGAAGCTAAACTACTTTTACAATTTAGGAAAATGGAAACAAATTCATCTTTGGTGGTTCTTTTCTATTACTGTGGAACCTGGCTTGCCTCAGTTTAACCATCAGTTTCAAAGGTTGAGGTTATACACAGAGTATCTTTAGGTTGGGCTTGAAGTAAGCAAAATGAGCTTCTGTGATCTCTGCACATCCACAAATTTAGGAAGTGGTCATAGCTGTTCCTCTCAGCCTGTTTCCCCTCACTACTTTTCTCTGCCTCTCCCAATATTTTTTATTAGGGGCCACCCACCTATAAAGTGACTGCAGCTGAGTGAACTTAATGAATGGCTGAGAATTAAGAATTCATCTCCCAATCCTGCATTTAAGTTTTGGCTAATGCCAGGCAGACTTGCAAGCTACATAGGCATGAGATCTTGAATCACATAATGTGTTCCACTATATGAGTATCTCCCCCATTTTCAGTGCCCCTGAAGTACCTATTATATCACAGGCACCCAGTAAATAAGATCACGTTTGAGAAAGAGAGGCAGTAGTTGCTGGTAAGGTTTAACAAATGGCTCTTGGAGTAGGAGAGCAGATATGATTGAGTTTTCAAGCATCTGTCGCATAAATACTTTCACAATGGCCAATTTAAGCTACTAGTTGTTTAACAACTGTTTTTGCAAAGTTCCTGAGTCTAACAAGCAGCTCTTTTGACCAGTATGATCTATACAGGACAGAGGGCCAGTAAGCAGCCCAGGGGTAATCCTAGGTTATTCCTCAGCAACTGACTAGTTACTCCTTTCTTAAAGCAGGGGACTTGACTAAACCCTGGCAACAGCCTAGAGCTCCTTTGATCCTACTTCCTCAGGCTAAATCCTGATTCCCACAGCTGCCATCTACAAAAGATCCTCTCCAGTCTTTTCCACCAAATCTCCAAATCCACACTGACTCAGGAAAAACATAATGACACCTTGATCGACTTCACTGGCACTTGTTACTTAACAGCTTGTATGTCTTAAATCTGAACGCTGCTCACTTTCCTAGTCTCAACAGGCAATAAGCTTCGGAAGTTTCATATAATTATTATAATTAGAATAAGGAAGGAATGGGTTGGGCAGCAAGAGCAAATTAGCCAACATCATTAATATATTTTCTGTAGATGTATGAAAATCTTTAATCTTTATTAATAAACCTTCTCAATTACATTTAATATGATGCTGTTGCATCAACTTGATTACATCAAAAGGATGCCAAAACAAACTTCATCTTCTAAGGCTTTTCTTTTTTAATCTGAATAGAAGCATTAACATGGAAAGTATACCTGTGGGCCATTAATATGAAAATAAGCTATGCTTTCCAAACACTGGAAATTGTTAAGTATCGCTATAAGTCAAAAAAGAGTCCCTGTTTCATTCAGTTCCTGGAAAAATAAATGAATATTCAGAGGGCACAGAATAGTAAGGCTAAACTTCAATACATTTCAAACATTTACTTAAACAGGATTCAGCTGTGGAACATGAACTGTACATATTCTGTAGAGAAATGAAGTCTTGTCTGTCAGCTGTTTCTGTTTAATCAATCTTGAAACTATGGGAATAAAACTTATTAGATAGTAATTATTAGCACTCCAGTAAGTTTGAAGGTTCTTACCTGTACATTTGTAATCAGAGGCCACCCCTTTAAGCACAGCATCAAAAATGGATACTTCCACTCGTTGCTTTCTGTGGTGACAACTCAGAAGCAGGGAAGGCTGGGACACAATAAAGTACAGAAAAGGTTCTAGCTGTAAGTCACCAGTTCCTCTTCGACCAGGCTGCCGAACAATAGTTATACCAAGTGCTTGTCTAGCAGATGACCTTGTGGATGCATGAAGACTTTCAAGAGAGAGGACCCCAATTTTTTTCCCCGAAGGAAAAGAAATGCTGCTGCTTAAGAGATCTTCTGCTGTCACTGTGGAAATACATGCCTGGTTGGGCTTAGCAACATCTGAATCAACTTCTGGGATATTTAATGAACTCTTGCCTGTTTTTTCATTATCCTTCTGTTCTTGTGATTTCGATTTGGATAAGGCCATACAGGAATAGGTCATTAGTGAGATTCTACTTGCAGTAATAAATATGTCAAAGGGAATAAAATTTAGATTTTTCACAATTGATGACTGGCGTGAGGGACGGGCAATACGATGCTGACTGGCACCACTCTGCTGCTCTATTTGCACTATTCTGATTTTAACGCTGTCACTGCCAATTCCACTATCCTGAGCACCACTGTACCGAGATGAGGTTTCAGCCATGCCTCCATCAAATGTATCCACTTTTTTCTGTTCTTGTTTAGAGATCTGTAAGAAAAAAATAAAATATTTAAAATGAGTTATATGCCAAGTGTTACATAAACAATGTTATATAAACATGTTGTCAAAAAGGAAATTTTGAAAACGAGTCTAGAATAACTTAAAACAGTAATCAGAAAAACAGAATAGGTGCCCACTTCCTACATCAGACCCCCAAAATCACCTTACAATGCCAAGAAAATACTTGAGGAAGAGCATCTAATGTTCATTTCCATCATTAAAACACATTTTTGAGAGTCATATCTTCTTTCTTTGTATTAATACAGAAGCATATATTTTTAAAGCGTCTCTTTAAGGAATTATTTTAATACAGATTTTTATAGTGATTTCCCAAGCAATACAATAAACTGTCTCCAAATCATGATTACTGGTGGTTGAAAATATATTTTACATAGGGGTAGTTTATATTATGTTCCTTACCTTTCTTATAAAACTGATTTATAGGTTTTTGGACAGTAAGAAAGGGAAAAAATCAGTAGTCCTAAATTAGGAAGGACCAAGAAAAGTACACTAAAATAAACACATGCCATTTCAAAACATGTTTATTTTTCTCCTACTACGATAGGCCTTAAAACCAGGACAAATTTAAGAGATAAAGTAAAATCAAGTCAGTAATTAACTAACTAAAATCCTTGAGGGTCGATTTTTCCTTTGTGCAATAAAGGTTACTGGTTCTCAAAAATTTTCAGCAATGACTCCCTATGCAGAGAACAAGGAGAAACTTGGTGGCAGCAGCAGTTATAATCATTTGGCTCCAAGAGTATCAGCTCCTCTTTCTTGGACTGCCTAACCATCAGTCTGCAACTTGCTATTCTGTGCCTAGATATTTTACTTGCTTTTTCAACAGAATTATTAAGGTAACCATAAGAAAATCCATAAGAATAAAAAAATCTACCCCACCCATCTTATCACCAAACATAACCGTTAGTAATATTTCATGGCTCTTCCTCTCAGTCTTTTTTTCCTACTTATGCACAGGTTCACCTGTATCCCTTTGTGGTGGTGATACCATAGGGACAAATTGAAAACTTAAATTTTGACATGCTAATGTAATCTTCATAAATATGATTTTTTTTTTTTTTTTTTTTTTTTTTTTTTTTTTTTTTTTTTTTTTTTTTGAGATGAGTCTTGCTCTGTAGCCCAGGCTGGAGTGCAGTGGTGCAATCTCGGCTCACTGCAACCTCCACCACCTGGGTCCCAGTTCAAGCAGTTCTCCTACCTCAGCCTCTCAAGTAGCTGAGATTACAGGAATGAGCCACCATGCCCAGCTAATTTTTTTATTTTTTAGTAGAGGTGGGTTTCACCATGTTGGCCAGTCTGGTCTTGAATTCCTGACTTCGTAACCTGCCATCCTTGGCCTCCCAAAGCACTGGGATTACAGGTGTGAGCCACCACGCCTGGCCCATAAATATAATTTTTTAAAGCTGCAAAATATTTCATTTAGTGTTAGGAACAATTTGTTCTACCATTCCCATGTAACTGGATATTCAAGTTTTCAATTAGTGCCAACAAACACCTAGTAATATTTTCTTAGGACAGACAGCTCCTAGAAGTGAAATTATTAGGCAAGATGCAGTGACTCACACCTGTAATTCCCGCACTTTGGGAAGCTGAGGTGGGAAGATTGCTTGAGTCCAGGGGTTTAAGACTGGCCTGAGCAATATGACAAAGCCCTGTCTCTACAAAAAAATATGAACAATTAGCTGGACCTGGTGGTGTGCACCTGTGGTCCCAGCTACTTGGGAAGTCGATGGCTTGAGCCTGAGAGGTGGAGGTTGCAGCAAACCAAGATCATGCCACTGTACTCCAGCCTGGGTGACAGAGTGAGATCCTATTTCAAAAACAAAAACAAAAAATTAAAGCAATAAAAAAGAGAAGTGGAATTCTTAGGCAAATGGTATGGAAAAGCTTAAAGTTACTGAATATTGTCAAACACCTATCCAAAAAGGCTGCTCAGTACTTAGGGAGACATTTTTTGTCACTAATAGTAATGTAACTTACTATCAGTGATAAAAAATGTCTCCCTAAGAACTGAGTAACTGGGTATTGCTTATTACTACTACTACTACTTTTCTACTACTACTACTATTTTTAAAGAGAGAGTCTTATTCTGTTGCCCAGGTTGGAGTGTAGTGGTGTGATCATAGCTCACTGCAGCCTACAACTCCTTGGCGGTGGCTCCTACAACTCCTGCTTCAGCCTCCTGGGGAGCTAGGACCAAAGGCATGCACTGCCATACCTGGCTTATTTTTAAATTTTTTATAGAAATGAGGTCTCATAGTGTTGCCCAAGCTGGTCTCAAACTCCTAGGCTCAAACAATCCTCCTGCCTCAGCCTCCCAAACCTGCTTTTTATTTTTAAAACTCTTCCTTGATTGGTAAAGAAATATGTATATGTATATATAATTTTGCCACATGCTACAAATTATTATACTGCTTATCTGGGGCTTATTGAGAAAATGTTAAATAACTGATAAACAATTCAAGAAAGTGAGGTAACCATCATTAAAATTCTTTTAAGAATATTTCTTGTTAAGTGGTGTTTATAGAGTTGAGAAAGCCACATTGTTAAAGAAATCTAGCATTTGCTATTTGAAACAAAAAGGACTTGTTCCTGTCCTTTGAAGACACCATATTCTTTCAAACCTTGCAGTCTATACTGTGCTCTTTCCCTTCCTGGAGTACTCCTCTGAGCCTGCTGTAGCTGACGAACACTTAGTTATACATCAAGATAAATGACATTTGTCTGAGAACTGTTCTCTCACTCTTCCTTCTTGGCGATCTTAGTAGTTCACTTAGACTTCCATTATATATTTTACTAAAAGGTTTTGTGGTGACAGTATCAGACAGCATTAAGACAATATATAGGCTTTGGAGTCACACAGATGTGGGATCAAGTCCAACACTCTCTAATTACATGACTGAACAAATTACAAATCTTTCTAAGGCTATAAAATCTCATTTGTAAAATGAGGATAATTTCTACCTCAGAGAGTTACTATGATGACTGAATCAACTAACGTGCCTAAAGAGGTTAGCACAGTTCCTGCCTTACAGTAAATACCCAGTAAGGCACAGCTGTTATGTGTCTGCCTCTTTTACCAGGTGAAGAACTGTTAGAGGTAGTGGAGAACACAATTCTGCTTCTATATCACTAAACAGCAGGGCAATGCCTAGCACACTGAAGAGAATCCGTGAATGTTTGACATGTTTGTTTTTGATATAACACTAAATGAAAAAATTGCCCAGCAGACTAGAGTTACATGATTGTTAAAATACAAATAAATGTAGACCGAGAATTCTCAATACTGTACTCTTTAAGGTCTTTCCCAAACATATTCATAGTGTTTTCCTGATCTGCATACTCTACCCTGTGGGCTGATCATACTTCAAAGAATCATCTCTATCTCTGCCGTCTTTGTCCTCACATTGGGACATTAATACCTAACTCATAGGGTTGCTGCAGCATAAAAAATTAATTAGCATACTGAACAAACACAGTAGGCACTCTAAAAAGGGTAAGTTAAAAAATTCACCTTCTTTGTGAAGACTTCAGCAACCCTTCCAGGTGGTGCTAGCCTTTCCCACTTCTATACTTTTATAACAAACTGATATTATAGCACTTTTCATATTATATTCTGTCTCAGAGATTGTGAACAATTGAAGAAAAAATAAAATAACAGAGTATGTTTATTATTTGCCAGACATTATCATATTACATTTTTTTTTTACTAATCGTTATAATCCTTTGAGGAGGAGTACTATCATTCCCATTTTACAGCTGAGAAAATTGAGGTTTATAGAGATTGATCAATAGGTCCAAGGTCTGACAGCTATCAGGTTTTGGGTAAGAGGAAGTATCATGTTAGTATTCCTAGAACATACTATACTGCTTATCATATAACAAAGCTGAATAATTGTGTGCTGACTGAATAAATATATGAACATATTTAAAAATACAGTAAGATAAACATAAAAATAATTGTTATGAAAATACTAGTTTTAGTTATATGAAAATTTCAAATATACCTCCAAATCTATTACCAACTAGGAATTCTCAAATAACATGTGAAAAGTAATGAAATCAAATACTTAAGTAGTCAAATGTGAAATCAAGCACATTTTGAGGCTTTACAAACTAAATATTTAAATACACTGTAAATGAAAAATCCTTTAGGTTGAGTATGGCAAACTCCAATCAAGAACTCAAGCTTTATAAGCTATTTTCATTCTCCCAATCAGGAAGGTCAACCACAATCAACTACATCAAACTATAATTTCTATGCATAGAAAATTTTTTTACTTCTGATTTACAAGTTTGTACTTTAAATCTATTCTCTCCCTCTTTAAAATGGATTAAGTACTCCCATAAGTATTAACATAAAACAACAAACCACCTGTAGACAAAGGTAAAGAAATTTAGCACCCAGCCTAAATTATGTGCTAAGATTGCCACATTAGCCTCCAGCAAATGTCAAGTGGTATGATCTTGAGATATAAATAACTGGCAGTCGCAGGATGGCAGCTATCAGCTCAGGTCACAAAGGTTACTGAACAGAAGTCAGATGGTAACTAATTCTAATCACTACTGAGCAGAATGGAATTTGAACCAATGACCTAGAGATGAAAGACTCCGACTTTCATTGGAAGGAAAAGGAAAAGTACAACTTACCCAGTACTAGAAAACTAAATTCCTAAAACTGGGTTAAAAGCCAAGATTTCCTCCATTTTCTAAGCCTCTAAACTATCGGTAGCACTGAAATAAACAAGCTGATGATTTTGAGACATATTTTAAAACCCCTGGTTTGTCACCAGTCTACTTCAGATTTATTACGTTGAAGAGTATCTGGCCCACTATTGAGAAAAGTTTTATAATTAATTATATGTCCTGGGCCCTAAACTTGGGCATCAATTTACCATTCCTTTGTGGAAAAGAAAGAGTTCACAGCGTAGTAATTCTGAAAGTAACATTTGCCTTATTATTGTCCA